ATGCCAGCTCATTGGTCAGAGCATAGCTTAGCATGCGACGGACTCGCACCTCCAGTGTGGTCCCTCCGATTATAGCGAAGTGTGACACCTTTTAATATGAAAAGTATTTACAGTTTTAAGTGAGGTTAATGTGCGTACATGCTTATGTGTGTGTGTGCATGATAATTTTTTCTTCTTCAAAGATGATGTAGTAGTTTAGGCGTGACATTTATTGAAGTTAGTGAAACACGGATTGCAGTTTAACCAATCAGTGACACTTTTGTGAGTGAGAAAGAATTATATGACCATTAAGTAATTACCACTGTTTTCTTGGCCTCCTGGGACTGGAGTGTTGCCTCTGCACGGTCCAGCTCCTCCATAGCGTGAACAGGCAAATCTGCTGGCACAGACAGAACCCCAACATTCCGAGGTTGGCAACAACTACGTGACCGGCGGAAGGCCTTAAATTCTTCACTTAGGCCCCTCACCTCTGATTAATCTCTGCAAGGCCACATCTAATGACAAAATAAGAAAATTAAGGTATGTTAAATCTATATTGGTTTTGAAAAAATGTTTTAATGTGATTCAGTTTGGTTATAAGAATGTTACACTTCTCTAAACTAGCTAGATAAATACAGATGAAAGTTCTGTGACAATCTCCTTCCCATAAAGATGCATGGACATTGCCTTTATTTATGATTGATTGATGAGTCTTGTTTTCTGGGGTATTGTAGGTTACCATCAATGATTATTATGGTTGTGTGGCAGAGACATGATGTAAAGCAATTGTTGTATGTTCATTGCGCTGTAATTGCCACTAGGACATTCCTTTGAAATCCTGTGATAATATCAAAGCATAGCAGTTTTGCACTTGCCTTTCAATAGTTGCCTTGCAGAATCCGTGGTATCTGTGACAGAATGAATCCAAATGACAAGATGTTGGCGTTTGAAATTACGAATACAATGTGTTGAAACTCCCTTATCTAAACATACCTTCTGGAGATAATCCCTGAAAGGGATTGAGTGCAGGGCCGGGAATCCTACACACTCCTGGAGTTGCTGGGAAGGTTGTAGACTTGCATATGATCTTGGAGGCAGGTCATTTTGGAAGTCATCATGTGGGAAGGGTGAAAGGTGGGCACTGGTATAGGACTCGAGCTGTGGAGGCAACTGCCAGCTGGTTGGGGCATGAGCGGGGTCATTAATCGGTTGGAGGCTGGTTGAGGGATGGGGGGCAGACTGCAGAGTGGTAGAAGCTGGTTGGTGAAAAAAAAGCAGTTGGTAAAATAACAGGGGGTTAGAAGTTATAATGCTCAAATAGATTGTCCACAAAAGCTTACCTTGTTACACACAGACACATCACAATGTAGCATACTATACCTAGAAATAAAACTTTAGGAGCCTGGGGATATTTGGTTTTTTTTGGTTGCTCAATGTTGTCCTCAGAGTCTGAGTTATTGTAGATGGGATTTGGCCTAAACGTGAACATATCATAAATAAAATAAATTGTTTATTTTGATTTAAGTTACAGCAATGTTAAAAACCTTAGAATCAGAGAAGAAATTCTGAAATTTTGTTCCAGTTAAGATGACAAAAAAATTATCAGAAATACAATGAAGACGTTGTTAATGTTATAAATTATAGATTGTAACCCGGGCCCCATTATCATACCTGGGCAAAAAATCATAATAATCTAAAAAACTAAATCCCCTGGAAACTGACATCTGAGGGTTGGCGTGTTACAGGGTTAGTACTCAGTATTACCTTGTTTTTCTTTTCAGGTTGCACTGAGCTTCTTCCTCCGACTGAATATCTGTCGTGTCACAGAGTTCCTGCAGATATCTGTGCATGCTCCTCTGTGCTTCCTTAAAAGTATCTACAAATACAGAGTTACTGTCAGGTACAGAGAAATGTTTTTTTTTACACTATTAATTTAACTTTGCTAATTTTATATGAGTTTTTTTACATTGTAGCACTTTGAGATTTTTTTTCAAAGGTAAGTGTTACAAATAAAATGTATTATTATTATTATTAGAAACACTCACCACGGCTTATGAGGAGCCTGACTGGCTCGTAAGTGTGCCACCCTTCAGTAGGCTCATCCCTCCGCTTGACTGCAGCACGGACCTTGGCTGATTCCTTAGGGGGATAAGGGGGCCATAAAACGGTCTCCCCTTTGATCCATGTATGGGGCACTATTTCTGTGCCACCACTACTGAACCGTACAACGCACCACTGCTTCATTTGTTTTTTATAGCTATAATAGCACAGAAAAAAATAAAGAGTACAATGTATTGCATGAACAAAGCAAAATCAAATAAGAAAAATGTGTAAAAAGGTATTGATTATGTTGTGAACGCAACCAGACGCACTTCAAAGAAGGTCAGATGGTGTCAAAAGAGGGAGGGAAGTTTCCCTCCCCGAGAGTTGACCTCTTTCACATGTAAAACCCAGAGACATCGCCTGGTGTTGGTAAGGACCGAAAGAGACTCAATCAGACAATGAATCGCTTAAGGATTGTGTATTCAGAGAGCCTTAGTGAACCTTTCTAGCTGTAAAGGTGTCACTAAAGACAGTCCACAGGACAGGAAAAGGGGCGATCTGACCCCTTCTCCCTCCAGCAGGTCACCTCCAGCCTCAATCTGACTCTTTTCTCCCCACAGAACGGCTGAGCCATAAACCACCAATTCATTCTCTGATATCCTGTGCGATAAGCCAGGAATGCAGAGAAGACCACAAAAACCCCTGTTACTCAAACCAAGCAAGGTTCCAGTATAACTGTGTTTATTCTGTTTAAATAATAACCTTGCTAAGTGAGCAGCAGTGTTAGCCTCTGAGTTTAGTAAGTAATAACCCTGTTGTTATCCTTTAGTGATGTTTGAAGACTAGCAGACCCATAAGAAAGTAATCTTGAACTAGTTTTCTAACCTCATTCTGTGTTGTCTTAAGTCATTCCTGTTACTCCCTAGTAATCCTTAATAGCCAACGCATTAGGGATGGGGTAGTCACCAATGCCCGCGTCGCCTCGTGGTTGATGGCTCTTCAGAGTTTCGACATAGAGGTGCGTTATGCACAAAATAGGAAATCACCTTTGGGCACAGAGCTAGCAGCCTGCCGGCGCTGCTCTGACGATGCCCCCTCACATGCCGCGGTACTTTACAACCCCGCACCCCCCAGCGACACACGCCACCACTACTTCGATGATAACGTCTGCAAAGGCATGATCACGGCATATGTGGACGGCTGTTCCTTTCACCACGAGACACATGTCCGTGCTGGCGTGGGCGTGGCATGGATCCACGATACCCCATACGGACCCCGCCGGTTCCACTTGGGATCTCAGTCATCCCAATACGCTGAAATAGCGGGCGTCCTGATCACACTTGAAATGGCAGTTGCACACAACGTCAAAACTCTTGTGCTGTGCACTGACTCCAACTATGCACGCCTCAGTTTCTCTTGTCACCTACCAACATGGCAACACAACGGTTTCCTGACATCAGGTCGGAAACCGGTCAAACACAAAGAGCTATTCATAGCTTGCGAATATCTAGTAAACACACATGACTTGCGGGTTTACTGGAAGAAAGTTAGGGGCCACTCCCGAGTCCCTGGCCAGGACAAAGACCTGAACGATTTGGCAGACGCATTAGCCAAACAAGGTGCCATCGACGGCACACCCTGGCAGTTCCAGGCAGACTCATGCCCAAACCCGCCCGCCCCTACAGTCTGCGCGGTCACCAGGTCTCAAGCGGCCCATGCGCCTCAGACAACTGCCCCTCATCCAACTACGGTCTCCGTAGCTCCTGCCTTCACAAACTCGGATTTGGTCGCTCTGCAGGCTCAGGATCCTGCCATTCACAAAATGGTACTCTACCTTACTGAATTGGAAACTCCCACAACCCCAGTCGATGACCTTGCTTCCACGCCCGGTCTCAATGATCTCTACCGCGTACGCCGGTCTCTCCGCCTCGTCAAGGGCCTCCTTGTGTATGTCTCTGAGGCCCTCACTTCACCTGCGTTCGTGGTACCTCAGAGCCATAGGGGGGTTATGCTAATACACGCCCATGACTCGCCATGCGCGGGCCACAAAGGCACCAACGCAACACATCACGCACTCAAACAGGTAGCGTATTGGCCACACATGCGAAAAGATGTAGCAGACTACATCAAAGGCTGCCTGGTATGCTGCCAATTCCAACCTGCAACACCGCTTCACAGAGCCCCATTACAACGGAAAGGCATCTCTTTCCCCTGGTCAGACCTACAGATCGACTGGGTGGGGCCTCTAACCAAATCAGCCAGAGGAAATAAATATTTCCTCACAGTCACTTGCGCATTCACCAAGTGGGTGGAGGGCTTACCGGCGCCTAACGATACGGCCCAAACCACCGCATACTTGCTAATGAATCACATCTTTTCACGATTTGGCCTCCCCTGTCGCGTCGACTCAGACAGAGGCACGCATTTCACAGCTGAGGTCATGCGACAGCTGTGGCAGCTGCTCGGTGTGGAAGCCAACTTCCACATCAGCCACCACCCTCAGTCCTCTGGCCAAGTGGAGCGAGCAAACCGAACAGTGGTCAACATATTAAAGAAATATGTGACTGCTAATCACAAGGACTGGGATGTAAAACTGCCCCTGGTACTGATGGCAATCAGAGCGACACCCCACACGGCAACAGGGATCTCTCCCTTCGAAATGATGACTGGCAGACAAATGACTCTCCCATTGCATCTGCTCTACCAGCCAGGCGAAGCTAGCATCGCCACCGCATATACGACACACCAGTATATGACCGATCTAAGTAAACACCTCAGGGACACGTTCGCCTTTGCCCAACACAACTTGAACAAAAGTGCAGAAGGGAGAAAAGCCTACTACGACCAAAAGGCGTCTCACCATGAGCTCCAAGTGGGAGACAAGGTGTGGTATTTCAATTTCGCCCCACTAGCGCAAAGGGACAGCCAGAATGTAGGAAGGCGTGCTCGTAAGTTGTTCCCCCACTGGACAGGACCTCATGTGGTCACAGACAAACTCTCACCAGTCGTGTACCAAATCAGAGTACAAAAGAATCACAAGGAACCCACCTTCAAATGGGTTCACCGCAACCAAATCAAGCCACACCAAAACCCCATGGGACACGTCGGGGACGCCAGCGTCCACTTGAATTAATAATTAATCAGTAACGAGAGCGGTTAGTGGTTAAAGAAAGAGATTATTTGTGCGTGCCAGGTTAAAACCTAAGATTGAGAAGCCAGGTATCTCTTACTCGGGCTACCATTAACAGCTCTAACCACTGCCAAGGGTTCCTCTGCGAGGAGTCCACCCACCACTCAGGTACGAGTGGGGGGGTTGTCTAATCAAACTTCGAAACACACAGATTCCCAGAATTCACGATCTCGTAGCTGACCTCGAGCTCTCATACGGGCCAAATAAAGGAAAGGGGGGAAACTCCAGCCAATAGAACCAGTGAAACCCATTAAGACTGACCTGTACTATACATTCAAAATGGCCCTAACCGCGTGCGTTCTTTCCAAACAGATGACGTTTTTGCTTGTTCTGCTGACACTCAACCTGGCAATCACCACCATCCATCCTGGGATTGTGGAGCCAGGGCCGAATTCTGGGGTGGTACTTAAAGGACAGCCTGGGCTGTTGATTACCAATTGCCGCCTGCACACACAGAAAGTGTTTGTAAAACTGAGCCCTAAGGAGGTATGTAAGAAAAACCTCCCAACCTCTGCCAAAGAGGCCTCCTTCTACACCAGCCGCTGGTCCAGAGTGGTCGCAGAACACGCGGAAGCAGATATAACACACGTGTTGCGGCAACTGCAAAAGTTCACCCTAACCCAATCAGAACTAGGGGGTACAATCACCGATCCAAGCGGTTCATCGGAGGGCTGCTCACTGCAGCTGCCGCCGTTGGAACCCTTTTCAGTATAGGACTTTCCTCAGTCAACGCCGTTAGTCTAAACACAATCAGGCGCCACGTCAGCGAACTAGAGTCTGAACTCCCAGAGATCAGGAAGCAAGTTTACTACCAGCAGCGGCAAGTAGAAACTCTAGGAAAGACCTTGAAGGACACCATTCTAGTCGTTAACACCCACAGTGAAGCTCTAAACAGAACCCTGCTAGCAGTAAACGATCTCATCCTGGCAGTCAGGGCAGATTATGCCCACACACTATTGGTCAGCATGCTAATGGCAGATATGTTGCGAGAGACTAGCTCCTCCGTGGATCAACTGGCCATGGGAAAGATCCCACCTTACTTAGTGCCCGTCTCTCTAGTGCAGGACCTACTAGCGGACGCCACTAGAGACACTATTACCCCACTCCAAACACACTTGGCTTACACGCTGGGTAGTGCCGTGCCCATCCACGTTGACCCGGAAGAAAGGGAAGTAGCCTTCCTCGTCAATCTTCCCATAATTAACTCGGAAAACATCTATAGACTCAAGGATGTGGTAAACGTGGGGCTCTGGCAAGGTAGTACACACGTTAAAGTGGAGACACCTGCTGTCATTGCCTACCATGACAGCGACCCTGAACTACACCTGGCTCCAAATTTACATATGTGCACCCTCACCAGAGAAATCCACTATCTGTGTCCCAGTAAGCCGTTCCTTCGCGACAACACGGATGGGATCTGCGGCCTCAAACCCATGGCGGAACACGCCCGGTGTCCCACAACACTCACACCCCGGGCCAAAGTCACTAAGACTCAGGCCGAAATAATTGGGAACCGCTGGCTAGTAAACACCCCCGCTAGAACGGCCACCCTGACCTACGACCTGCATGACACCGCCACTCGCATCCAACTACCCGACCAAACCATGTGGGTAGACGTACCAGAGAATGCCATTCTACACATAGAAGAGGTAGCCCTCTATCATTTGAACCCAGAGCAATATGAGAGCGAGATTGAAGTACCTGACTTCTTTGGTACCCGCTCTCTAGAGTTAAACCCTGACACTATCACTCAGATACAATACAAAGGAGCCCAAACAATTGATGTGACCCCTATTGATGACATGCTCCGTGAAATTGCCACCACAAATTACACCCTTAGTCAACCCCTAGCCCACTCATGGTCCGGGCCCGACTCAATCTTAGCCACCACCATCATTCTAGGTTACTTGTTCATTTTTGGCTTTCTTCTATATCAAGCGTACCCAGGCTCTGCAAGGCAAACTAGACAAATGCACCCGGGGAGTGGCCGCCCTTCTAGGTAATAGGGCCTCTAAACGAAGACCAGCTGCAGATCTAGAAATGGTGGAGGAGGACCGTGAATACAGCAGACCAGAAAACATAATGGCCCCTGCTATTCTAGAATTAGTATACTAATAGAGCCACTCAACACTTAGCGACTCTAGAAGGACACCAACCTGATCCCAGATGTTGTTGTGTTTTGCCACCTGTTCTCCCCTGCTTGATCCCTTCTAACTCACCAGCATCTGACCAACACCTGATCAACACCGGACCAG